GGCTGTTTCCGAGAGTTGGATGTTGTTGAGTTTCACTGTTTTCCTTAACGCGAAGCTTAAATGTACTGTTTTACTTTCGTTCAGTTTTAGTTGGTTTCTATCACACCAAGAAATCATGTCATCTATGACTGAATTAATGTTGTTTTCTAGCTCCTCCGCAGTATGAATCTGGTAAATAAGGAACCATGCAGTTCAAGGTTTGGTATACTATATTGTATTATAATTAATTCACACTGGGTGGATATTGTTGACCACTTATAGGCATATAATAAACCGTAATTATGCGTAAAATTAATCCGTTCAATCTATATCTGTAAACACAGAATGTGGCTTTGACATTATTAAATAACATTTTGTGGAAAAACCAGATAGAGTTTATTCGTGTAGAAAAACCGATTCCAATTAATTCTAAAACAATACATACTTACGTAATCAAGTGGCAACAAACGAAAAGAGTGACTTGAACCTTGAAAACACAATATATAATGCATTCATTTGTTTTTGTTTTTCCAATTTGGGGTTTTTTTGGGGCTTTCATTTATTGGGTTGTTTTTTTGTTTGTTTGATAGAAAGTTTTCGATGTGTTTCTAGGGCACTGATGATGGTTGAAAGCACCATTTCTTTCAATCACACCTCCATTTCTATATGTATCTGTCAGTAGAGAAGCAGATAATCATCTGAGATAATATCTAATTCTTGATTGTTGTGTTGAATTCTTAACCGATTTATTGTCCCATTTTGTTACTCTCATTTTCAAATAGACTGAGGCATTGATTTTGAGGTGATGTTTGTCAGACAATGCGGCTATAGTTGATAAATCATAGTTGATCTTATCATTTGCCTGCTGAACGTCACAAGATTGAAAGAATGATAAACTTGTGTATCATCAGCACACAAATGATAATTGCAGGAGAAAATATATATTTTTGAAACCAAATAAGCATTCAAGGCATTTCTTGAATAATCTCTTTTTGTGCTAACAACGCACCTATCAGAATAATACGAGGTCTGTTGAAAAAATTAAGTGACTTTTCATTCTTCTCAAAAAATATTCATTCATTCATCAACTTCTATTTTGTCCCCTTCAAAGTAGTCCTCTTTAGAAATAATACACTTTCATGGGTTTATTAAATCTTGGGAACAGGAAAAAATAGCAAGGGTCCAAATCTGGTGAATACGGTGGCTGATGCATGATTACGGTGTTGTTTTTGGCCAAGAAATTACGAACAAGCAATGACGAGTGAGCAGGTGCATTATTCTGATGCCCTAGGCCACAGCTCTTCCATTGTTTCATTCGGACGATTGGATTTTGTTTTCACTGTCATAACCATAAGATTCATCACCTGTTAAACCCTTCTAAGTAAGTCTGGAACGCCGTTGACGTCATTCAACAATTTCTGATTCCAAAGGTTTCAAACCTGGCGAGCGGGCTGGCCATTCTGTAGGACCTCGACGGCCAATCCAACGTCCGGGAAAAGTAGTACCCAAATAGTTTCTTACTTGTCTGGCTTAATGTGGTGGTGCTCCATCTTGTTGGAATACAATACCCATATTGAATTCATTAGGATTCGCTTCGACGATTTCAGTGATGAGAGGGTCAACCGTAGTTTCCAGCATATTCAAATACAGTTCCCCTGTTGAATTTTGATAAAAAAATAGAGGTCCTATAATATGGTTTCCCAATATTCCTGCCCAAATAATTTTTTCTGGATATTGGGTATGCGTTTCCGTATCCGTATAGATCACATCCACTTGCATCTGATCATCCATACTCTCTAACACATAATCTGTAGACTCGATTAAATTAGTATCAATGGATCTACAGGGGAAAAACCATGTTGTTGTACTATTATTTCGTTTTGTGCATGATCTAAAACAATTGTATGCACATTTTTTTCAAACAATTTTCCGGGAATGCATAGTTTGCTGATATGTCTATAATTCTTAACGTTACGCTTATCACCACCTTTGAGGAGTGGCATGACGATAGAAGATTTCCACTTACCAGAAAATCTTCCTACCTGTAGAGATAAATTATAGATGTGAAAAAGGGGTGGTATCAAGTTTTCTTTACCCTTTTTTTCTAAATATCCCCGGTATGACATCTGAACCAGTATGTTTATATTGTAACGAATTAAAGAATTAACTGTCTTAATCAAATTTATTTTTAACAATATTTCACTATCACAACTAATTTATATACAACACTTAGTAACTAACGCTTAATTTATCTTCACAATTAGATTCCTTTCTTTAAACGCACGATTCACTTTCTAAGTACAAACTACTCCACGGGACGGAGAGCGACCTTTTTATATCGTCAACGAACGTTCCGGATCTCTCTGCGGATTTCGGGACCCATCCGCATCTTTCGCGCTGTTTCGCGATGCGTCATGCGTTTGCTGACTGGGACATCGGTCAGGGCCGGCTTCAGATTCATTACAATATCATTAATTGCTTCAGAAATTTTCTGTTCAGAAATGCTAAGAGTAGTCAAAATTATCATTAAGTATTGGACGATCATTTGCAAGCGGGTTGTGAAAATATACACTCTTGAAATACTTAGAAAAAAATTCATGTATGGCCTTTTCCGGTGTCTGCTTTAATTTTATTTTCCAATGGACGAGAATTGACCATTTTAGAGATTGTTGACGTGGTACCTTTCTACTAGCAAAACCGAAAACTAAATAAGAATATTCTAACTGAACAATGACGTTCATTGTCGTACTTACATTTTTTGTCGTTTTTATAAATAAAAAATAAGTTAACTAACCTTATCGGTTTGTTGGAATTGCTATATAACAAATAAAATATCGATATTAATGTGTTTGTCTTCAGGAAATTATTAAGTGCTCCGCCATTTTGTTGTAGGTGTAGGGTTGTGAAGTATTCGTCGGGAGCTTCAAAACGATGTGTCACACGACCCCTCCTTTCCATTTAATTTTTTTTCGCAGATGCGCCCAGTCGCCATCTTGAAGTATCATCTGTCAATTTTACTTCAAAAAAAAGTATTCATGCATTAATTCCATTATCCCCAATTTCAATTTTTTGAGTTGACCTGTTCAAAAAATAAAAGGGGGGGGACATTAAGGAAATGCACCGTATACATATCTATATGTTTGAACATTATTATCAACATAAACATAAATGTACTCATCAGATGATACCTATATCTATACAAAAAATAATTGGACTTCAAACAAAGTTCAAACGACTATATACATAAGTGAACATTATTATCAACATAAACATAAATGTACTCATCAGATGATATATCTATACAAACAATAAATATTTTTTCAAATTCATTCGGAATTTTTGTTTATTACTTTTTTTAGAGCATTCGGTAGCTCATTTTGAAATTTGATACCTTTATAATAAATCGAATTTTGCCCAATATTTGTTTTCATTTTCATTAATTTCAGATAGGCTGAATATCTTGTCAAATGGTTGTGTTGGTCACCATTGATTTTGAAAGTCAAATTTGAATGTTTGAGCACGTGTTTCGATCACCAAGTGATCATCTTCAAAGAGGAAGATTAAAACTAAGAACTAGTATGAGCTAATCCTATTTATGCTATAAAGGTAACTCATACTATACAGGTAAACCATCCAGGCCTACCAACCATACAGGTATACCAACCTAAATTAATTTTACAATTTTGCCTTATCTATTATTTTTCAATACATGTTTATATAAAACAATTTTCAGCTATATTCAGCTATATTGCCTATCCAAATTTATTTTTGCAATGTGTCCTTATGTAATAATCAGTAAACCCAACAACATTATTTTATTTTATTCTAACAAGCTATATAGTATGCTCTTTGGTATAGGTCCGTCATCGTTATTCATAATATTATTGTGTTTACTTATTTCTGCACTCTCATAGGCATCTAGTTGCCTGTTGTTGTTAACTTGTCTAACTAATTTTAATGAACTGAAGTCTATGGAATGGCTTTGTTGCAAAATATAATGGGCGACTGCTGATTTTTCAGGTCTTCCATATTTTAAGTGTGCTATGTGTTTCTTATATCTTACTTTAATATATTTTTTTGTCTGTCCATAATAGTTTGCATCGCAGTCCTTACATTCAATTCCGTAAATTCCAGACTTTTCCAAATTCTCGACTTTGTCTTTTGGACTTCCCAAAAGGCTCTGTAGTGAATGACTTGTTTCAAAAACCACCTTCATACCTAGTTCCTTGAAAATCTTTTCAAAGAAGGCGTAAACGTAGCTTATAGAACGAATAATAACCTAAGTAAATTTATTAAAAACAATAAGGACGAAACTTTGGTGTCGGATAGATCATGAGTATATAAGCTGACTTGTGGCTCTTGTCCAAAACTGTATATTGGCCAAACAGGAAGAACATTTTTCCAATTGAGCTTTATAAAGCACCAAAAGTTGCTGAGGTATGTACAGTTCTCTAGTTCGGAACAGTGTTCCTAGCTTTTGAGAAGCAGCCTTTGCAATTCCTGCGACATGATTGTGCCAAGACATATTGGTGTCCCCAATATTGGAGCCCCCAACAAACTTATCGGAGCAGAAAGCGGAGTTGTCTGACCTGACATTATAATATCCGGTTCGTAGACATTTATCTCCTTGGAGAAAACCGATGCCTGGGTTTTTGCGGCATTGATTGAACTTGGTTACTTTCACCCCAATTCAAAATCACTTCTGAATCCTCCTGCTGCTACAAATGAAGAAAAAGCCCTACTGAAACAGCTACTTTCATATAAACATTGAATTACACGAAAGAAAAATTATTTCGAAGCGAATACTTTTATATGAACACTGAATTATACTGAAAACACTACTTTTATCTACTCAGTTTGTATTCCAAACATTGGTTATGAAACTATATCAGATATCATTCACAGGATTTCTACACAATATAATAAATGAAAGGTAAACATTTCACTTACATGGAACGCTGTCATGAGTAGTAGAAAGCCAAAAACTTACTTTCCATAAAATTGGTAACGTATCACTGAAAATGGTTTTTTGAGCCAATATTTAAATTTCATTCAGTCGTCGAAAGTCAGGTATTTCACAAGGTACAATTATTTTTGTGGCCGCACGTTATTATGTTTATTGTCCCGATCATCAAACGATTTGACATGATGTGTGACATGATATCTCGTACAGGAAAAATTCATCGATTAAACCTAAATCAATATTCACAATAAAACGCATTCACTCTTCTACCATTCCTGCATGGCTGCGCTAAAAGCTACAGATAAAAAAAGAACCTGATTTCTCATTTAGCGGTAGATGCCGTAACTCAGCTGCATCTTCAGTGAATGTCTATATTGTTGGGGAGAAGGAATTTTATATTTGTCAAAAAAGAAGGTTATTCTATGGGAAAGAAAGTTTTTGGCTTTCTACTACTCCACTTGATACAAGAAAGATACAAGAAAAAGAAGGATGAGGGAGTTACTCTATACATGGATGTGTAGATCATGCAAAGAAGTAACTTTCAGACACAAACTGAAAGAAAGAAAGAAAGAAAAAGAAAGAAATTCCAATATAAACATTGAATTACACGAATTATATTTTAATAAATAATTATACTTTCAGTTTGTGTCTGAAAGTTACTTCTTTGCATGATCTACACATCCATGTATAGAGTTACTTCCTTCCTTTCTTTGGAAGACTCCCTCATCCTTCTTTTTTTTTGTATCAAGATGGAGTAGTAGAAAATTAATTACTCCTAAAAAATATAACCCCTTCAATTCAAGGTTATTCTACTTTTTAACAGGTTTCGAAAAATGAGTTTTGGAAGAGATAGGTCTGTAGTCCCCGACTTTATTTCTATCTCCTTATTTCATCAATATTGGCACGACGAATGATTTTTTAAATGCATCTAGCCAAACGATGTGTGTCAAGGGTCGCATTTATTCGGTCTGAAATGATTTTGATTGTTTCAGCAGGAGTACCGTCACTTCCTGCACACTGCATAAAATAAACCAGTGAAAAACATTATATTCCAGGTAGATATTCGCGATGTTGTAATCATAGCTCGATAACCTACTGAAATGTTACGCATTGTTATTGTTTAGTAGTGTAAAACCTTACGGTGTATCATTATTTTATAAATAAATTTCTGAGAACAGTCAAGAACATTTCCCCATTTTCATATTCTGATGACTGTAAAAACCCATGGAGATCAAAAGTACTAAACCCATGGACTCAGCCACCGGCAGTGCAGTCTGAAACATACCCGCTAGAGCACCAGATGGCGAGTTTGTTCTTCATCATAAGGTACAATCGCGGTTTGAAACTCTAACCGATATCTCTGAAATAAGAAGTGTTTCGACTACTATAAGTGTTCCATTTTATGTGATTCGCAACACAGTAAGTAGAATCCATTCTAAATGTATTGAATTTTTATCGGAAGAATCTATAAAATAGATTCTTTCACGGATTTCAAATCAATTTATATCATATTAGACAATGGAAGTCCGAACTAATGAAATTCATCATGAAATATTGTCGACCACCTCCTAACAAAGACCTTATATGTGAGCAGAGACTACCCATTTATTATGTCGTTTTGTATTTAATGAATCTTTGACAATACAGAAGCAAACTCCTACAGAACGACAAGGAAGAAAAGTTATAAATAGGAAATTAGCGTACTACATCAAACTGTAGGTACTTATAAAGGGTTATAACGTTTCATAATTAACTTTTCTTGCCAAATATGTTATTTTCTCCTGAGAACTCTATTATAAATTGAACTTGATCAACTAAGATGATCGATACTTAGACTCATATACAGAGAATGTTACAGCAAGCTCATATTATTCATGATAAAAAACCTTATATTATCTGTGACTAGAAACTACTTATTTACTGTGTCAAATCAATTAAGAAACAGTGATTAATAATTCCCAAGCACACTTCTACAGGTCGACAAAAACCAAAGTTTCAGATATTTTAAGAGTACTACATTACATTGTCCCTAAAAAATTAACAAACTCTGAAATGATTTTTTTGCCAAATCCGGTTATTATTGAAAATTATTGATAAATTTTCATGTTAGATTTTTACTATTAAACATTTACGTACCGGCAACACGTGTTTTATCATATAATAGCTTCATCAATTAAGTTATTATTTTCATTGACGATCTTATTTGACGTTTTTTTAAACGTTTATATCTGTAGCGAATTATTTGAGACACCACAAAGTTCTCCAAAGTAAAAGAAGTTCTTGATTATTACTTTTATAAATGTGCCATTGCATATGATTTGCAGCATTTTCTGTAATAAAACTTCATTTTCAAAAGAAAGTACATTTGACAGTGAATTTATAGTGAGTCTGAAATCAAGGAATTTTGGTACCTCGAATAGAAAAAAAACTGTGGCTCACGTTGTTGATAATAACTATATTTCAAATGAGGACTGTTTTTAATAATNTCGAATAGAAAAAAAACTGTGGCTCACGTTGTTGATAATAACTATATTTCAAATGAGGACTGTTTTTAATAATGAAAACCTTACGATTTTATCTTCACAAATATTATTTTCAAAACATATATCACAACATATCACAGTAGCTTTTTCGTAGTGAATGACATACTGAAAGTTAATTCTATTGTATACTTTAATTTTCGTATACTCCACGTAATCGTAAGTGATATGGTTTTTCTTCTAAAATATGATTTGAAATGATATGTTGAACATGTTTTATTATTTATATAGCTCATATGATGTTCTTGGATGCGATTCCTAAACGTTTTGCCAGTTTGACCAATATATACACCAGGACAAGTTCCACAATTCAATTCGATTTCTCGAATTTGGACGTGTTACTTTTATTATTTTAACTAACTTTTCCAACTCATTACCTGTTCTATATGCAATTTTAAATTCATGATTATTCAAAAATTAAGCCACTTTTTCTGTTGCTCATCCAAAATGTGTTCAAGTTTTATAATTTTGAATATCTGACCTAAAACCTTCCGAATTGCTTTTGCGTAGACTTTTTAGGAAATTATTTTGTTTATTATTTCAGCAAACGAGGATCACAAGCTTATATTATAACCCGTAAACAGAAGCTACTTTTTTTCGAGTTAAACACGGTATTCAATGAATTCTTGACAACGCGAAATCAGATTCTTTTCAAGATGGTCAAAAAAGAAAGCTATCGGATTACCATGAATATTTTTGGTTCTCTCCTAAACTGTTCATGGACCAGAATAAGAAAGAGTTTTTTAACAGAAAGACCAGAGAAATAGTTCACGATTATTAATTTACGAGTATTTTTATCCATGATCACTGTCCTGCTTGTTTTTTATTTTTATGACTATTTCTAGTAAACTTATCAAGAATTATATAAGTGATGATTCCTGATTTGATTTTATAACAGATTCTAGATATGAAAAGAGAAATGAAAATTTTTATGTTTTTTACCACTTTTAATTGTAACTAACGATACTGCAGTTTCGTCCTATATGGACATTCTCAAACTTATACAATAAACTCTATATTCTAGATATATTTGACATGGAACCACATAGTTTTTCAAAACTACTTAAGTCAACTTTCGAAGTAGTTAGAGAAAAAAAATTTAATTAGGCTTTCAGCCAACTTCAACATGTTTTTTCAAGAATCCTCTGTCGAGTTCAAAAAAATCAGTCGTTTGAAAAAGTTAAGGAATTAAAAAAAATACCCGTTAGAAAATGCATGTATTGTGTAATGTGACAGGTTAATTCAATGCAACATTACCAAGATACAAAAAAGCCAGTACAGAACATGAATATGCTTACCTTAGAGGTAGAAAATTATAAAATACTTTGGAATATCAGATAGGTAATGATTCTCAGTAATATCGGGGATTTTACCAATTTTGTTTGACGTTCACGTTAAGCTGGAAATTCAGTTTCAAAAATACTATTTCATTATGTAACTGACGTCCTTTTGAAGATTGCTCCACTATTCGTGAATAGTCCAAAATTTGATAGAACATAAAATTAGGTTGTTTCAAAAGTGTTGCCCGATTTATGAGTCTACTTCAAACTATAATATCTCAATTCAATCAAAATGAGCGCTTGAAAAGATGGTAGTCGATTGGCGAGAGGTCTCTCAAAATTGGAAGGGTAATTCTCATTCATAAGAAAATGGACAGATATAAATTAGAACATTATGTAGACCAGTCACCATCGCATCGGGTTTTTCAAAATTTTTTGGACACGCATATCTTGATAAACTTTTGGATTTCTTAAATAGGTTCAAACTCTTGACAGATCATCAACACGGTTTTCGAGTCAATAGAACTACCAATACTGCAGTAATTTTTTTCCGATACACTGTTTGAATATTTAGAGGCAGGCGAGTGTCCTGTTGGGATTTTTTGTGATCTCAGCAGGGCATTCGACTGCGTCAATCATAATACTTTGTTGGCAAAGTTACACTCATACAGCATTCGTGGCGTAGCACATTCCTGGATTTCATCATTTTTAGAAAACTGTTACAATTAGTAACCACAGTACGAGGGCTTATGATAAATGTAATTCAAGTTTGTTAAATATTTCAATGGGTGTTCCACAAGGATCGGTATTAGGGCCTATATTGTTTCTTTTATATACAAATGATTTTGAATCACATATTAGGAATCCTTCTTCAACAATGTATGCCGACGATACGTCTTTAAAAGTATCTGACATGGATAAAAACTCACTTTTAGACAAATGTAAATATACTTTGCAATCAGTTATGAACTGGTGCGGAGCTGATTTTCTCTATCTCGATGCAAACAAAACACAATTGGTTAGATTTCACAATCGACAAAAACATTGCGTGTTTATTCAATTTCAAATTAAGAACATTTCAATTCTGGGAAAAGAAGAGACACATTTTTTTGGAACTACCATTGATGCATGTTTGACATGGAAACAACATTGTTCGAATTTAACGAGTAAAATTAACTCATTATGTTATCTCTTTAGAAACCTAACAGATATCTTGCAGATCAGCAACTTTTGGCACTATACCATGCTCAAGTAGCTTCCAGACTGAGACATGGCATATGTATGTGGGGTAACTCGACTTCGATTTTAAATTACTTGAGATGTAGATTCTTATATACACTGAAACATACTCTCTATGTTTCAATATTCAAATGTATCCGAATCTTATTCATTGGTATCTCTTTTTCGTATTGTTCACCATCGCTATTTGAATCACTACACATTCATTCTGGAATCTATTTCTGTGTTCCTTTGTGCGGATTTTGAACGTTCTTCCAATTTGACCTATATAAAACATCGGACATGACCCACTTGACAATAATGAAAGTTGACCATAAACATGATATTTCAATTTATCGTAATACAAGCCCCTCCATTTCCAGAAGAAATATTTGAAACTTAACGTGTTGGAAAGTATGGAAATAAATAGTTAAGTTGTAAGATAAAATATTTGAATCACACCAATATTTAACTTTTTTCATGTCGGCAGAGATTGTTTTGTGCAACTCACAAGTGTTTTCATTATTCCAAAATATGGTAGTGTCATCCGCAAATAAGGTGAACTTCCCAGAAATATTAGGCTTGGTGAGGTCAATAATATATGATAAGAAAAGAATGGGACCTAACACAAGAACCTGGTGGAACTCCAGAATTGATTTCCTAATGTTCTATTCATTTGTCGTAATGAATAATTTTGGCTGTGAAAAAAACGAGCTAAGAAAGTATACAAGATATTTAGAAATACAGCTAACTTGGAAAAAAACTGTGAGATTCATTGGATTTTTCCAATTCCTAAGATAAAGAGAGATTTTGGCGTCTGAAACATTACGCTAAGCTGTGCGTTGCTTTCGTTTTTTCTATTATTTTATCGAAAAACGTTTGAATTTTTTCCGTATTCCTGTCTGCCAAAGCCATGGAAGATTATATCTATGCTAGACTAGTTGTTGCCCGCGTAGAATTTCGTTTGTCACATTAAGTTCCGTGACAGACCATTTTAAACAAATACCGAAAACTTCAGGTTTCCAACTTCAAAACTGAAGAAATTCGATACAATCTTTAATAATGAATAGCTTCGAGAATCGAATTATGTTGCCTATTAAGAAATTCGCAAAACTAACACAACCGTCAACGACGTCTGCCTCGGCGATGGCGCTTCATTGCTTAGACCGCCCTTCTACCTCCGCGCATCGTTCCCCGTCGTCTTACAGTAGACGCGACGCGTTACGGCTTACTGCGTTGCGTCAAGTTAATTTTATCATGATAACTTTTAAACGATAACTTTTTAAACTTAATGGCTCAGTATTTTGCATATAGTGGCTACCACATGAGAGGTAGATATATGATATCGCGGACTTTTTTTATTCAGAACTATTTAGTATACACAATCTTACGGTACATTATTCTGCATGTAACTCCAACGGTATAGAATCTCAACGAAAAAAAAATATTTCAATTCACTTGGGCTGTCGAACCATCTTGAATAAATATCTTTTTTATTTAGCTATGAATATTCCAAAATGCGGAAACAACAATTTTCATAGACCTCGAAGAATTCGAAGGTCGCTGTTAAAACTAATTCCATAACAAGACCGTAATTAAAAAAAAATATTGATGTGTCACAATCAAGTTTTTTATATAATGAAGATGGATACCCACTTATTGTGGTATTAAATAATGTTGAGCTTCGTGAGCGTTTTTGGGATAAATATCGCCGTCTTCAATGTTATGCTCTTAATTAATGAATAACTAAGTAGAACGCTCATCAAAATCAGTTCATTCAACATTTTAACTAAATACTTTACTTCAATTGCATTCTTATTGCATTAATCCATTGACGGATTCCTTGCTTTCGAACTATACGCGAACTAATTCAAACTATCACGACCACGGCAAAGTTGCATGAATTGGGCTTCCAATTGCTTCCGCATCCACTGTATTCTCCAGATCTGCTCTCCAGTGACTTTTTATTGTATCAACTATATTGAATGGTAAAATCAAATTTCATCAAAAAAACTTTTATGTTATGCTGAAAATACACCCTTTCTTTTGTCTCAACCGTATTTTCGGATTGAGCTTGTGTCAGAAGTAAATTCAATGTGTTGATAGTTCTAAAAGTTGTTTTTACATCACACCTGTAACCGATTTGTTTTAACACGAATTTGTACAAGGGATGTACCTTTAATACCGTAACAATATAACTTATTCAACATTATGAAAAAGACTTGTACTTGTTTAGTGGAAGAAAATGTTCTGCTTAAAGAAGAACTAATAAAGTAAACAGTTCAGTGTATTTATATTCTGAAAGAAATCGTATTGCTTTTGAATGTTATAATATGCTCATTTATTTAAAGCCAACAAATTGCCTCAATGATAAAAGGTGTTCAAAAAAGGTTTTTGCGAAATAATTGAGCAATGCATATAATATGTATATTAAATAAAATCTTTTTTTGATTTGTTTTATTGTCAACTCCAAGAAAATTTATTGAATCATTTTCTTCCTTCTCCGTAGAGAATGTGATGGGAGAGCGAAGAGAATAGATGAAATCCAAGCACTTATTCAGTTGTAATTTAGATTGGAAAGGGAATATTTGTAGGAGAGATTAGTTTTCAAAGAAGGGAAGGAAAAATAAAAACATTGAATTAGACGATTTGTTTTCCATTAAGTTTTCATTAAGATATCACAACGTAATATATGAAAGAGTATTCGTTTCAAATCATTCATGAAAATTTCTGCTAACAGGGGGTTTCCCATTATTAAACTTTAGCAGAGTAATAACATAATATGTCGTCTAATTGGAGGTGATTCTGCGACGAATACTCGATCAGGAATTCTATTTTTTTCTGTTTCACCAAAGAATTTATTGACTTTATGTCCAACAATGGATTCTCTACAAGAAATTTTCATTAGAAGAAATACTTTCGCTTTGTAGAAAATATCATATTTTGAAAGGAAAATTTTCGTTAATTAATGAATGAATATATTCAATTTTTATTTCAGATTAACGGAACAACCAAAGGACATTTCCATAATGGTGAGTATAAATTATCATACAATTACTGTTGGAAAATAGTGCAAACGAACTATTGAAAATATACGTTATTCCTATCCATTTTTCGAATATTCCTATAGCCTTCATTATTTATACCAAACAGATAAGCTGTGGTATTCTAAACTGAATTCCGCGGTAGTATTGGGCTTCCCGTTCGAAAATTTTCCTCATCCATTTATATCAAATCTTCATCTATAAATAAACCAGATTCATGGAAGCCTGTGAATCAGTAATTTTAAATATAAATATGACAATGCTGTATAATCTTTTATCAAATAAAGGTGAAACATTTTATTATCTGTAATGAAATTGAAATATTGATAATGTAGATCAAGCAAACAGTTACTGGAACTGTCATATGTTTCAGCTTTTCTATGATCACTCCTTGCCTCTTCCATTTGATGTGCTGCACATCATGATCCGACTATTAGTAGCGAAGATACATGGCATGACATGACAACTCATCTTTGTTTTTTCTTTGGCAACGAATTCTGCATTTCCTCTCCTTTCATTTGATGTGCTGCACCCGTCAATCTAAGTATTATTGACGAAGATACAACTTAGTGCCCTTTTGACATCATCTTTGTTTTTTCTTTGTCAATGAATTCGGCGTCCCTACTCCTTTCATTTAATGTGCTACACGTGACGATGTGACTATTATAATCGAATGTACGGCTTATTGTCCTTTTGTCATGTCACCATCTTTGATTTTTCTCTACTCCAAACTGACGTCACCTTCTCCCTCATACACACATACATATTGCATCATGTCACTCTTGCACACGTCACACCTACCTCGAATTGGGTGTTCCACAAGGCTCCGCCCGGAGATCTGGAAATAACTAAAATGAAGTACTATAAGAAAAAGCATGGGATTTGGTCCTAGCACCGGAGTTATACCTTTACTAGTTCAGAATAAGATAAATAGGTGATTGCGTCTCCAATATATTGGTCATAACAGGAATCGCGTGAGGCGGATTTCAAAAATGTTCTTTTGGAATTCAAAGTTTTTTTATCTAGTGCAATATCTAGTACATTTTACAATTTCTACTTTTTTCTTTTCCAAACGAATATGGAAAAGACCTATGTTCAAATATCATATGAAGTGAAATCAAACCCGATATTTTTCAAATATGAATACTATAACACAATCATGTCCCTGGAATTGCAAAGGCTGCTTCTCGAAAGCTTGGAACTCTATTCCGAACCAGAAAACGGTACACGCCTTGGTAACTTTTGGTGGTTTATAAAGCTCACATCTTTGGAGTATTGTTTTCATGTATGGTTAGAGATTCGTCTGTCTTCTATAGGAAACGAGTTATTTTTTTGCCGGTATCTTTTTGGCAACACTGTTTTTGACAGATCGTGTCTTGTTTCATTGTCAAACTTGTTCAGTTTGGTCTATAATTTAACCATGAATCGACTTACGAAGGAACAACGCTTGCAAATTATTGAATTTTATTATCAAAATTCATGCTCGGTGAAGAAAGTGGATACAGTTTTAATGGGCAGTTTCGTCGGCCTACTGAGAGAGCTATTCGGAAGCTTGTGACTAAATTCCGAATCCAGTTTACATTATTGGACATTAAACCACCAACACGCATACGTAGAGTGGGAATCGAAGAAAATATTGCGGCTGTATCCGCCAGTGTTCGTGATGACCGTGAAATGTCGATTCGCCGCCGTTCGCAGTAATAGGGCCTTAGTTACTCCACTACGTGGAAAATTTTGGGAAAGTATTTGGGTGTGAAACCTTATAAGATACAGCAGGTGCAAGAATTGAAGCCACACGACCTCCCACAACGTCTAACATTTGGTGAATGGGCGCTGTCAAAGTTGGAGGAAAATGCACATTTTTATAAAAAAATTGTGTTCAGCGTAGAGGCTCATTTCTGGTTGATGGATACGTTAACAAGCAAAATTGCCGCATCTGGAGTGAGGAGCAGCCACAAGCAATGCAAGAGCTACCGATGCATCCCGAAAAAGTCACTGTTTGGTGTGGATGTCGGTGACATCATCGGGCCGTACTTCTTCAAAGACGATGATGGCCGGAACGTTACTGTGAATGGCGAGCGCTACTGTGTGATGATGGATGACTTTTTGTTGCCCATAATGGAAGAATTGGACATGCCTAACATGTGGTTTCAACAAGACAGTACATCTCAATTTTATTTATGTGTCTTCCACCAGCGTTATCATCCTGAGCCAATATCTGCTGTGTTGAAGCTATTTTCCATTGGTTTTCTCAGACGGAAAGGTTCATAAATGACCACTAAACACTGCTCAGAATCATCGATTCATTGTTGTTTTTGGTCAATTATGAGCTAGCCCGCCACCCACTTTGGACAGAGCATTCGCACACCCAAATATTCATGCCCGATATGTCCAACACGTTCCTTTGATATCTTTGGAGCCTCAACCATCGCTATAAACTTCACTTTGCGGTCATCCAAAATTATTTTGTGGACTTTTCTGATATTTCCGTCGCTAACAGCCTCTTTGCAGCGTCTACCGCGTACATCATCCTCTGTGATCATTTCACAAAGTTTAAACTTAGCAAACCACTTCTGCTTTATCAACACACGAAATTCCTTACTATCCATTTTCTCCAAACTAATAAAAGTTACTTCACTCAAAATGTACTATACCACGAACTAGTAATCCGACAGCTATGAAATTTGTCCACGTATCTTTTGAAGGTTAGGGTTGACTGAAAATCATATAAATTTAATACTAGGTGCGCCATCTGTGTGTCAGTCTACGAACTTCTCGGTCCACCCAATACATCGTGATGGCGTTTATGCAGAGAGAAATGCTTTACCTCAATATTCTGGCATTGTTTTTTTAATATATGTAGTATTATTTAATAATCATTGCGACTTCACTGATTTTTCGAATAATGTATGTAAATTTCATTATATTTTAGGCGACCAAAACAGTGAATGGTTCAGCAGAGTTGGAGGGTTTTCTTTCTCATGAGAAACCATCAAAAAATGGAGCTATTATAAAGTGAGTTAAGAAACTTTTCTGAAAATTTACTTAGGTGTGAATCAGAAACATGTACATATAATTCTTCTACTATATATAAAAGATAGGAGTATCCAAACACAAGAATTTCCTTCCACAAATTCATGTTACATCGTATCCGGATCATCCCTTCCGGAAGCATGAGATATAGTGCCAAGTTCCCAAAATATGAAAAAGTGGAAAAGAATACATAATTCCACTGCAACTTTTGTTTTCCCGTACAAATGTCTTCAACAAACTTTTGTGATCTTTCAAATATATTTTCAATGGATCCAATATTGAATATTACGTCAGTTAAAATACATATTTTTTTTATTACTAGAGTCATTTCTAGAATGAAGCCTAGATAAATGTATTTTTTATTTATTACGTTTACTCGAGGAGCATGATTCTCGAACCCATTCATACCACATCAGTTTTCAACAGCCTTCTAAGATGAGTACTATTATTATATCACTTCCTATAAATAATTAATCTCTCACAAAGACAAATTCAAAGATGCACCAAATTGCTAAATGTTCTGTCTGGTGAAGTCTACTTTTACTTTCAGGTAATTTGTTCGCAATCTCCAAAATAAAAATGATTTCAGGTACAAATTCACCAAGGAATTGGAACGTGGAAATTTGGAGTTAGATCCATTGAAGTCCAGAAAACTGGAGCACCCTGTTTCGTAAGTGTTTTATATTTTTAAGTTTGGTATACTTGAAATGACGATATCAAGCACAGGAACAAAGAAATTAAAAGGTTAGTCAAAGTGGGACTTACTCTCGAATTCGTTATTTGACTGGATTATAAGATTATAAATACACAAATTTTGCAAAGGCCTTCGACGTAAGTAGTCACTCCATCTTACTAGAGAAAATAGCTCAAATGGATTCAAATCTCTCACTGACTCAACTTCAACGCTCTTATTTAGATCAGAGAACCAATGCTGTTTTTTATAATGAATTTGCTTCTGGGCCATACTTATCACCATCCGATGTGCCACAAGGCTCCAATCTGGGACCCCTGCTTTTCCTCATTTTCATAAATAATGTCACATCCGAGCTTTCGTGTGGCAACTCACTTTTTACAGACGACTTGCAGATATTTTTATGTATAACAAGTTTAGAGAGCTGCTCGTAACTCCAGTCTCAATTAGACCTGATAGATAACTGGTGTCAAATCAACAAATTGGCAATGACTGTTAGAAAGTGCAAAGTTTGCTCTTTTACACGTAATGCCAATATTAAGTATTGAGTATTTTTATACTTTCGAGGATGAAATACTCCTTGGCGAAGAAGCTGTCAAAAATTCAGGGGTAACGTTCGACAACAGGTTGACAGTTGTCGGCCACACCAATACTGTCGCGGCATTGGCTAGAAAAATGCTTGGCTCTGTTCTGCGTAACTGTAAATCATTCACAAATATTACCGCCTTAACCATACTCTATACATCTCTCGTTCTCTCCAAGTTAGAGTATGCTACTTTGATTTGGTATCTTCTCTATAATGTACATAAGAAAATCTTGGAAAATGTACAAAGGCGTTTTCTGAAGTTTCTTGCATTTAGAACTGATAGCGTGTACCCTGCTAAAGTATTATGTTGAACAAAATTTTGTATTGTTCCATTAATGCATCCTCGTTACTAGAACAAATTAACTTCAACGTACATCAAGCTACTACACGTAGACAGATCACTTTCTATACCCCTTTTACTAGATCCAACCTTGGAAAAGTGTCTTCTATAAATTTGATGTGTGAAAATTATAATACCCACTGCAGTCAATGCGATATTAATTTCGATCCACTCAAGACCAAGTTATATCTGAGGGGGGCTACCTTGAAGGAGACGAAAGAGAAATACATGAATAAATAAATATACTTTTTTTTTAAATTATGATTGACCTTATTTTTTGAACAGACAGTGTATTAGATTGATTTGCAGTTCTTCAATGTTTAACTTTATTATTATATATTATATTATTATCCAGTGAAATATCTTTCAGTTACTGTCGATTTCGACCACACTGAAAACTTTAAAAACTTCGAGTTGAGCTTTTCTCTAAGTCGACGTTCAAGTTTCAACTATTAGCTTTTTGTTTATTATAAAATTCTCCATTTTTTTCAAAAATTCAGTGTTCAAATTGACACATTTCAACTTTTGATTCCATCATAGCTACGACATGATAAGTTGCTATTTTTTCATTTGAAATTTTTTAATCTTCTGTCTAGAAGCTACCGTATTTTGATATTTGGTGTTAAATTTATATTACAGAAACAATAACACTTGATTTTTTTTCGTTAGTGTCAACGGCATCAGCTGCCATGTTGCATGTCATACTGTTCTCTCTCTCTCCCTCTCTCTCTCTCTCCCTCTCTCTCTCTCTCTAGGTTTTCTTGGCCTTTGTTTCCGTACTGTAGCCATTTTTAATCATTTTAGGAATTGCAATCGAAGATAGTAATAGTGAATGTTTCAGCGTTCTGCATATCAGCTGTTGTCTATTTTTTGAAAAATTTTGTACCATATAACCTAATAATTCGACTGATATTTTTTTCATTTTGAACGAGATCTATGACATTTGATTTGTTTGTATTTTCAGGGACTCTGAAACCCTCACACATTTATTGAAGGCATCATTCGGAACAGGAATATTATCAATGCCAGCAGCGTTTTATGCCGCCGGCTTGAGTTTAGGCATTTTTTTAACCATCCTGATATCTATTATTTGCACGCACTGCGCATATATACTGGTGAGTTGAACTTTTTGAATGTATACAGTCTGAGCCTATATTTTTTCCAATTTTTTATCAAAAGACATCAAACACATCTTTATTTATGCTTATTTCTCTCTGCGAAAAAATTTACTTCTAAAAAGAGATTTCAACTCGATCTATTATGTTGTTACAAAAGTTTTGTCCGTTATTATAAGTCTAAGCAAGATAAAAACCCTGAAAAAAAATTCAGTAAAATAAAAATTGAGCAAATAATTGAAAAATGAACAATTGAAATGAAATGAAAATTAAAAATCGAAAGATTTCAAGCCAAGTCACTGCACGAAGTACGAACTAATGAAATTAACCCGTATTGCACTATCAAAAAGAACAAATGCTGTGTATGTTTTTCAGATCATCGCATTGAATGTCTTTTTTTCTTATTGCAGGTTGTTTGTGCTCATGAGCTTTGCAGAAAATCTCAAAAATCCCAAATGAGTTTCGCAGATGTTGCGGAAGAAGCATGCTTGAGAGGACCAAAATGGGGGAAAAAAATTTCTGGCTGTGCAAGGTAATTGATCCAGTTATTATTTCAACAGTCTTATTGAAAATTGAACAATGAACAAGAATCGAAAATTAAAAGAATTCAAGCCAAGTTACTTCACGACGTTTCGATTGTTAGTATCCACAATCGTCTTCAGGTGATCTGTCTATTTATAGGTCATTGGAGTGCTTTCACCTATCCCCTCTTCCCTCTCCCCGCTTCATCGGTTTTAGCGGAAGTTGACCGTTTGGCGGGAGTTGGTCGTGTTCCTCTTTTTTATAGGTTTCCAAATGTTGCGTATCTCTACGCTAGCTTGGCTAAACGCGTTGTTGGACAACATATATGCGGCTTCTTTGAATTTTCTCCTAAACCACTGTTCCTCCTTGTGGATGATTTCAGCTTGAGACCGCTTGATGTTATGTTGACATGCTGAATAGCACATGCTGTGCTATTCCGGATTTGCTGGTTTCTCCTCGTTGTGTGTGTTTCTTGTACTCGGCAATGCGAACTTTCAATGGCTTTTTACTTTCACCGATGTATGATTCTCCAAACTCGCAGGGTATCCAGTAAATACAATTCTTGGAAACGTAGTCAGCGTTTGGTGGCCTGGTTTTCGTGACGCTGCTACGGATAGTGCTCCCAGATCTGAAACAGGTTCTGATGTTATACTTGGACCCAATTCTTCTTATCCTTTACGACAATCTTCTGATTTAGGGAAGTACAAGTCCTGGTTGTGGCGGCTTCTCTTTCTTGTGAAGATCTTGCTGTCTTTTAGCCAAAGTCTGTTCCATTACTTTGGAGGACCCATTCCGTTGATCATTTTTGATGATGCCTAGTTCCTTTTCGAGACCTTCCTTTGTATTGCAGAGCACGATCTAGTAGTCTTGATGATTCCCCTCTTAGTCGATTGATGGTGGTTGGATTCCTGGTTCAGATACTGTCCTGTGTGAGTGGGTTTTTCGATATACAGATGTTTCCATTTGGTGTCGGTCCTCTTCACCAATATGTTTACGAATGGCAATTCGTTGTGGACTTCCTTCTCCATTGTGAAAGTGATGGAAGGAATTACGTTGTTGATGTGCTCCAGAAAAGTGTCTAGTTCTGCATTCCTATGGTTCTGGTTCCAGATTCGGACAATGGAAGGCCAAACTAATGCAATGTACCGTCTTCAAACAAAACTAATATTTTGTAGCAACACACATCAAAAACTTTAGCAAGCCGACTTTGTGAACTGATATTTCCATAGTCCTTTGAATAATTTTTCTCTCGTTCATTTTAATGTATGGGTATTGATTTTCACTGCTTCGAAATGTTGGGGTATTCTACACGTAATGAAAGACTCAGCGGCACATAAAAAAGGTGAGCAGCTGCACATGTTTCATCCATTGCCACATATCTACGCGTAAATTCGGGTTTTTTATGGTGGAACGGCTTCGGAATCAATTCGTTGTTGTTTTTGGCCGATTATTAGCTCCCCCAGTACCCATTTTGAATAGAGCTTTCGCATATCCAAATATTCATGCGCGATATGTCCAACATATTTCTTTGATATCTAATGGCTTCAACAGTTATTTATTTTGAACCAAAAAGCAATGCTTGATTTATTGTTGAAGACGTAGATATCTTCTTCAGTAGAGAGAAAATAGTCGTAGTTATATAAAGTATATAAATAAAATGTTCCGCAGCACTTAGAAATTGAAAACTCGATTCATCATCGTCAGAACATGAGGATGACGATGATGTAGACGATAAAATCCTCTTGATCATGTACATTCCACTATGTAGGGTAGTCTATTCTTGTAATCGAAAATGCAGTTCAAAATTTCACCTAACCTCTATCACCGCCTGTTTAAGTCAAATGTATGGGCTGTTTTGAGTTTTTCTTGGGTTCCTGTGGCGGGGCGGCAGGCTCTTTGCCTTGCGTGTAGAAGTCGCAGCGTACTTCTTTGGCTTTGCGGCCGTTTAGGCACTGTTTTCTGTTTTATTTTCCGGCAATCATGGATTGCAGTACCGGAAACTTCACTAGAAGCGCCTGCAGCTGCCTTAAGGCCGTTGAGAGACCTTCGGGAGAGCTGTAGGCGTTCTCTGACTACGGGACGGCCCTTGTATACGAGACGTCGCTCCTGATTGAGTTTCTTCCGACAGGCCTTGGGTTTGTGGTCTGCCTGTTTTCGTTCGGCCTATCTGAGGCCCTTTTATTTTCAGGGCGTTCTGGGCACCCATGGAAGCTCGTTGGGTGCTCTCCCTTGCAGTTAAAACATCGCAAGGGCGAGGTCTTTTGTATTCCTTGGTCATGTGCCGTCCGGCACATCTAACGCGGGCTGGAACTGCTTTACAGTTGCGTTGCGTGTGACCAAAGTTTTGCCATCTGTAACATTGCCCTGCTCGGTTTCTCGACGTCTGTGTTTCGGCGCTTACACGCACGTTATGAATTTCGGTGATCTCATTTATTTTGTTTTGGCTCCTTGGAATTAAAACAAGCACGAACGGTATCGGTACCTTGTAAGCTTTACTCAGGCGGGCTACGGAAAGGATCTCAAATCCTTTGCCCTGGAGTTCAGTTTTGATGTCGTACATTCTATGGATTCCGGGACCCCGCGAAAAACTACTCTGAGCGATTTTTCGCTTTTCATTGTATAGGTGTGGTAGGGTATTTTCTTTTGATCGAGGATCCGAGTAATTCTCCTATAATAATCCGCAATATGGAGATGTTTTCAGCAGCAATCGTGTTAAAAGCTTTCCACTTTTCTTTTGCGCGGATGGTTAGGGGTGGAGGGTTTTTCGTTTCTCAAATTCAAGTCCATTCTCTTTGCAAATAATTTATATGCTTCCACTAGTTCGGTACTACTTATTTCATAGTATTCCATAATAGTTGATATTATAGCCAGACCTGCTTCTTTTGGATTTTTACGAACTTTCGTAAAATTGAAAATCGTTTCTACAACTTATTCCATCTCGAAAGATTGATGCTACACTTCGAAATTAGCACAAAGAAAATTAGTCAACTTGACAGCTGTCTGAACTAACCTCTATTACCGTCTAACAAAATTTAATAAATGAAAAAATCCTAGAAACCTAACCAAATTTCCACATGAATACGCATGCGCACGAGAACAGTTCTCATTAGTTCAGCACGAGAGCAAGAACGATTCGTGATGGTTCAGGACAGTTCCGGATTATATCGCACTCGAAACCAGAACAGAGTATTCATCAGTCAGAGAACGTATCCTCAAAAAACGAGAACGCACTTTATCAACTCCGCGTGATCCTGATGCCCTAGGACCTGCATTTTGTAGAACCTGAACAAACCTAGTCACATCAAAATAGATATTTTACTTTCGTTTTCATTTTCTATGGATTTATTTTACATTACACGTTTTTCATGTTTCAGAAAAATGGTATTGATCGGCACCTTCGTAACGTACTTCATGTCATGCAGTTGCTATGCTGTCATAGTAGCGAAAAATTTCAATCAAGTTGCGAATCACTACCTCGGATACGAAGTTGAGATCAGAATAACGATAGCGTTGTTGATGATACCGCTGATCTTGCTGGCGTGTGTACCTAACCTCAAGTATTTAGCTCCAGTTTCAATGGTAGCCAACGTAGCGATGGCTTTTGGCTTGGGAATTACAATGTACTACCTCGTAGCTGATATTCCCGCCATTTCTGAAAGGAGACAAGTCGCTGAGCTCGCTACATTACCGATATTTTTGAGCATTACTATATTCGCCATTGAAGCTATTGGAGTGGTAAATAATTTTCCAGTTATTTATGTTTGTATTTATTTTATGTAGGTAGCATAGAAATTAGGAAGATGCATAAAAATCCCGGCCTCTTTACCGATTCGCTATTATTTTGTTAAAAACTTTCGACACGAGAAATAAGATTGACTCAACTTTGTACACCTGTTGATAGATGGCGCAAGACTCGAAATCTGTCACACGTATTTTCTTTTCAGATCTTTGATTTATGAACCGTAATGTAAAAAAAATCACCTGATATCAAGTTATTCCCAAATGTAAATGACATTGGAAATAAAAGTGCCAACTTGACAATTTCAAGCAGTGTACCTCTTTGAATGGGAGGCTGAAACTTATAATTTTTTTTTACCAACACTGCCGTGAGTCGAGAGTTTTTGACAAAATATTTCACGTGGGGTGGGTTGCAACTGATCATACCAGGGGCATTCTAAGCATCTTGGAAATCGCAATTCACTGGCAAGATATTTTTACCGGCAAAAGATTACTTACAAAAGACCTTCAAAATACTCATTTTTCAGGTTATGCCGTTAGAAAATAATATGGAGAATCCTCATCATTTCATTGGATTGTGTGGTGTTTTGAATCAAGGCATGAGTGGAGTTACTTTAGTCTATATTCTTGTCGGTTTCTTCGGTTATCTGAAATACGGAGATGATATTAAGGGCTGTATTACTTTGAATCTTCCAATTGAGGATTAGTAAGTATACTTATTAAATTGGTAAAAGGATCGATTGTTAGAATTTGTTCAAAATCTGTATAATTGATAAATAATATTATTTTATTCTAACACCTCGACACGTGTTTCGATCACCAAGTGGTCATTTCCAAGAGGAAGATTATACTAGAAAATAAACTTCCTCTTGAAGAGGAAGTCTGAAGTGGAAGTGTTTAAAATGATGGTTTGGTGTTGGGACTAAACTCCAATAATATTCATTACTACAACAAAGGTTCCAAAAAGTGCATCACAAGTAAACCGTTTTTTGTTTTAGTGCTGCTCAAGCTGTAAATATTTTCATTGGTGGAGCAGTTTTTTGTTCGTTTGGATTGACATTCTACGTATGTATTGACATAGTTGGAACTGCGATCCGAAAACGATGTGTAGAGAACAGAATAACATCGGAGTACATTCGACGTATTTTGATGGTGATAATTTGTGTTTCGATAGCGATAGCAATGCCTACCATAATTCCATTCGTGTCTTTCATAGGTGCTTTCTGTTTCTCCTTTCTCGGATTACTGGTTCCTGTAGGAATAGAAACGCTCACTTTCTGGGATAAAGGCTTCGGAAGGTGCCATTGGAAGATCTTCAAAAATATTATCATAACCTTAATGGCGATATTAGCTTTGATTTTTGGATCTAAAACAGCCGTTGAAGAAATTATTGTGATGTATACCACGAACATGGCCGATTTGAATAGTAATAGTACTGTGCCAAGTGGTACAGTATTTAATAGTACGATAATGAGTATATTTCATAGCTTTTGAAAACAAAAAACAGTATTATCCATTTCTGTCTGATCGTTTATTTTTATTATTTGAAATATTGCGTCCCTACCAGAAGGAGTATTATTGTTTGACAAGATCAATTTTTATAAAATTGAAAAAGTTTATGTAAGTTTTACTGATGACGTTGATCTTCAACAAAGTCAAACCATTTTCATGTGATATATTTTGATATGAATTAGTGAATAAGCTAGTTGATTTCAAGTTTGCGATTGTATGTATAGGTTGCTTTTGAAAAACCTTATGTAAATTTATGAAAGTTTGTGAGATAGCAGACTTTTTACCAACTCATCTGGTAAAAGCTGAGAGTCTAATGGAGCCTTAATGTATTCAATATTAGAATTTAGAAACAACTCTGCTTATTTGTAAGTAGTTTTATTTCAATTGTCTTATATTTTTTGTATTATTTTTCACATTCGTACTGTTGAATTGTAATATACTTTTTTTACATATAAAACATGCATAAATACTTTTACCTTTATTGAAATATCTCAAATACATGAATAAATACATAGGATACCATGTAAATTTGTGCTACCTACAATGAAATGTTGAACTACGTACTACGTTGAATACATCATGTATTCTAAACAGACGCAGAAAGACAGACTTCTGCATTCGTTCTGCCATCATTCCACCACTCTAATAATCAGAGCGACAACCCTAACAGAGTAGTCTGAGTATAGTCTGCGGGGTTCTAAGAAAAAAATTTCGATATGTTATTTGTTTTTTCTCCTCTTTTCGGGGGATATTCGTTTCACCTGGAGATGAAAACCCCAAGACGAATAAACCCTTGCTCTGATCGTCGAGAAAAACTGCATCAGGCTTGCTAACTTTCATTACTGTGTCAACCATAACGAATTCAATATCTACCGGAGCATAAGGCAACACCGATTTCTCATCAATACCATCAAAGTGCCTTGGGTGATAATTGAAGCACTCTTAAGGCCACGTTATGTCGATGAATATTGGCTGAGACCTCGTATGATGAACATGCAGGCAGCAAGTGCATTAGGGTCTCAGGTACCTTGCGGCAGGCCCTAAGGTATTGAAAACACCATCCTGGCAAGTTATGATGAACCCTTCAGTTTCTGACTTCAGCCCACTCGTCGTGAAGAAAGCATTGGCTCATCCTTGTGTTGCCCCAGAATTGAAATGATCTCTTCGGCTTTTATATGAGCCTTTTGATGAACGGGTTCCAACTCGGTGACAGAGTTGTGATTACCTCGTTCAGATTCGAAAACTAAACCAAGTTCACAAGCTGCTCGCGCAGCTTAAGAGAAATGCAGGAATTCCTGCTCTCTCATGGTCGGGGACCATGCAGAGAAGGGGCTCTGAACTCCTGACGACTTTACAGGCTCTATCCAGTACCATCCTGTCATGTAGACACTCTGAACTTAAAAGTTAACTGTCGTCCTATTGTCGGGGAAAATACAACCGTGGATCGGACGATTTGGGATGCAAACTTCTATGGAGTTGCATCATTTTTCGGGTCTTCACGTCGAGTTGTTACAGCTCCTCACGATTCCACTTCACTACAAAAAATAAGTAGAGTAGGATTGGAACGGCAAGCATATTTGTTGCACAAACTTTGTTGTTTCTCGACAGTTCCGATGACCAGATCTGTCAAAGTTCGTGTTGATACTTGCCACGGAGAGAGTTCTTCAGTTAACCTATGAACCTGTAAAAAAATGGTTGACATTCATTGTCTCCTCAAGATAGGTTTGTTTCATACCTCTTGTGGGTGGTTTTGTCCCACCCCGAGGTAATTATATGTCTCTCCGGCATCCAGATGATGCAGGATGCTTCTATCTATCAGCTGCATATCCTCTCCGTAGTCCCCGCACTGTCCTCTTTTGAGATGGACCGTTGCACATTTGTCTATCCCGAATTTCATACCGATAGCATGAGTGTACTATTTTGTCACCCTCAAGGACTGATGGAGATGATTTTCTCCACAGGCATAGAGTTTAAAATCATCCATATAAAACAAATGGGTGACTTTGTGTCTCCGGTTTCCGGGGGTGCCAAAGTTGTGCAATAGTAAGATGCAGAAGAGAAGGGGACTGAGGAAATCGCCCATAAATACACCTCTTCTGAAAGTAACCCACCCTGTTTGGGCTCTAGCCTGACTTGATGTTATGGTGAAGTGATTCCGCATGAGTGGTATCAGTTGTTCGAAGCATCTAACTATTTTGTTGGGTATCGTAAGGCATCTGAGCAAATGCAAGATGAGCTCATGCGATATTGTATCAAATGCCTTACGGTAATCGATCCATACCATAGAGAGGTTAGGCTTATACGGTATCGAGTCCTGCGTTACACATCTATCGATGAGCAGGTTCTCTTTACATCCAACGACTCCTCTCTTCAACCCTCTCTGCTCAAATATCTGCTCGAATACCCGGTCAACTGCGGTGAGCATTCGTGTATATTAAATGCTTGTGAACAACTTATAACACGAATTTAGGCATGTTATCGGCCTGTAATTCTTAGGAATCGACAAATCTTCGCTTTTGGGGATGAGAACGGTCCGCCCCTCGACTAAACCATTCAGGAATCGGCTCCTCTCCGTCCAGCCATGAGTCTTTTCCAGCAATAAGTGTTGAGCCCGTCTGGGCCTGGAGCAGCAAAGTTCTTAGAACCTGAAAGGGCTCCATTGTTGCGCAGTTCATTAAGTTCGAAGTTTAAAGCTTCGAACTGCGCTAGGGTTTGAGTGTCTAAGTTGAGTGGCTGCGGGTGTTCATGGATATCCTTCCAGAAGGATTCCAGTTGATGAGCGGTCGGCGAAGGAATAAGCGAGAAGGTTTCACGTAAAGTATGAGGTTTTCCGCGATACTTTTTGCTCGCCTCACTAGTGATATGACTTATTAGCAGCAACTAGCATTCGTATCCTATCAAGGCAGTGCTGTTTGGCGCACTAAGGGCTGTTGTATTCACAACTTGTTTAGCAATTATTTTCAAATGAAATTATATAAAACACCGTCTCACTGGGATTCCTAAATTCTTGGAGTTACATAATTTTGTTAATATTGGAGTCATAGTCAATTGTTTTTGGAGGTGCTCATACCAAGAAGAGGGTGGTGAGAAACTCAATTTTCCGTGGGTGAAACTAAATAAGATTTTTTATTGGTCGGAGGCTTGGCTCCCTTGCAATGCATGGCATTTATTATTTCGGGTTGGTGGTTTATTCGTTATTCGTGAGTGATAGTGTTTTTTTCTAGCATATTGTGTATTTATATGAAAAATTAATGGCAAAGTAATGATACCCAAGCACTTTTAGAAAAAAATAATCCTAATTATTTGTCAATATCTTTTAATTTATTGCGATGAATAGCCTCAAATTTTATGGGGAGGCTAAGCCGCTGGTCCTGGATTACTGTAGGTCGACCTATAGTACCATGACACAGTAGAATGAATATTTATCGAGATATGGAGCTATAAAAAACACATGAAATAAAAACGGACAAAACTTCTGAAACAACCTAACACTACGTAGTGAAAAGCATATCGAAAATAAAGGTTATACTGTGAAAACTTGTAATTTTCTTGGGTGTCAACGGCATCAACTGCTTGGTTCTGAGTAAGCAATGTTAATAACTTCCCAAGCCACCTAGGGAGTGTCAAGGCTAATCCCAGTCTTTCAGCCATATGCAGAATCACTCCAGCTGCAACTAAAAAAACAATTGGTCGAGGTTGGGATCGAACTCACGACCTTTCGATTGTGATTCGCCAATTCATCCCTAATTTGTGACTATTATCGTGCATTGTGTTTTTGATTTTCACTAAGTAACGGGCCAGTGTTCTGAAAATTAATTTTCACTGTGTCAGTCAATGTCAAGCTGACGTTATCAGATCATCATACAATGACAAGTAGGTATTAAGTAAAATTTTTCGTAAAGGATATGGATAAAATTGCCACGGAAAATCTCTTTTTATTGGAATTCTTGGTGGATAATGTGAAACTTGAACCTAAATGCGAGTGTGATGCACCTCCCGGGGAAAAATGCGTTTCATTTCAGTTTTTGGATAACGCCCCTCTGGACGTGTGCGAGGCAGACTTCAACCCCAAAAACACCTACGAGGTCACAGAAAGCTCTATCAAAAGTGGAAAATCGTGCCTATTCTCTTTATCGCCGCAGCAAGCAACAGAGTGCATGTCCAAGTTGGATGTACTCGTCACAGTTTTCAAAAAAATGCAGCCGGGATGGTTACCGGAAAAAGTCGAAATAGGAAGTGCTCTGATATCCATCGCTAACTTATTTACTGAACTCATCGACAGCGTCTCTACTTCTGATGGAGTCGCGCCTACCGCCAAAACCTTAAAAGATGTTTTCGATATCAGCAAGGCAGAAGGTGAGGTTATTGGAAAAATTGGAGTCTACATCAGGATGTCTTGTTTCGGAAAACTGATTGTCACCCAGTTCCAAATGAATTTGCAGGACAAGTCCGTACTTTTCAAAGACAAAGAGGGAAAGTCATTGTACAGATATAAGAGGGCAGGAAAAGGTGAGTTTTGATACATTTTTATAGTATAGGTATGAGGAACTTTAGAATTGCTACAAGTAGTACTAGTGGATATTTATTGATCTCAATCATCTCCACTTTCTGTAAAAAAATAATAAGTAACACGCTCAGGATAAAAATCATCGTTATTGAAGCATACGTTGGGAAAATAATTGGATACGCAGACGATACTGCGATATACTATGAGGCAGACACTTGGCTTGATTTGAAAAAGAACGTAGAAACAGATTTCCACTTGCTCAAAAAATGGTTTGACCAAAGGCTTCTGACAGTGAATCTGGAATAAACTAATTTTCATCCTTTTAGCTGCAATCTATCCAATGATTGTCCATTTGAAACTCTTGATGTCGGCGAACAAGAAAACAATAAAAATAGATTCCCTGAGAGAAATCAAATACTTGGGCGTCTACATAGATAGAAACTTAAGATGGGACTCTTATATAAAATATACAATGCTTCACAACTTCCGTTCCTTGAAAAATTACTTACCTCACAAAGAACTTAATCAATTATATAGTTCCCTAGTAGAGAGCCATTTGAGATTGCTATAACAGCATGGGGATCAGCTCTGCGTGTACACCTCAATCTGTTAGAGGTATTACAAAGGGGATTCATGAAGTTGATCATGTCTAGAAATTCACGTTTCTCGTCAGATCTCCTGTATAAAGAGGGTGAAGTTATGGATATGAGACAGTTATATTACTATTGTACAAACGTGAAGTATCGTTTCAGCAAAAATAAAGCATCATCACGAAACCATGACTATAACACACGACATCTCGACCAACTAACATATCCTACTGTTAAAAAGTAAATTTCGCAAAGAGCATATTCTTTCATGTTTTTCGTCAGATCCCTGTATAAAGAGGGTGAAGTTATGGATATGAGACAATTATATTACTATTGTACAAACGTCAAGTATCATTTCAGCAAAAATAAAGCATCATCACGAAACCACGACTAGGTATAACACACGACATTCGACCAACTAACATATCCTACTGTTAAATTTCGCAAAGAGTATATTCTTTCATGTTTTTCGTCAGATCTCCTGTATAAAGAGGGTGAAGTTATGGATATGAGACAATTATATTACTATTGTACAAATGTGAAGTATCATTTCAGCAAAAATAAAGCATCATCACGAAACCACGACTAGGTATAACACACGACATCTCGACCAACTAACATATCCTACTATTAGAAAGTAAATTTCGCAAAGAGCATATTCTTTCATGTTTTTCGTCAGATCTCCTGTATAAAGAGGGTGAAGTTATGGATATGAGACAATTATATTACTATTGTACAAACGTGAAGTATCATTTCAGCAAAAATAAAGCATCATCACGAAACCACGACTAGGTATAACACACGACATCTCGATCAATTAACATATCCTACTGTTAAAAAGTAAATTTCGCAAAGAGCATATTATTTCATGTTTTTCGTCAGATCTCCTGTATAAAGAGGGTGAAGTTATGGATATCAGACAATTATATTTCTATTGTACAAACGTGAAGTATCATTTCAGCAAAAATAAAGCATTATCACGAAACCACGACTAGGTATAACACACGACATCTCGACCAACTAACATATCATACTGTTAAAAAGTAAATTTCGCAAAGAGCATATTCTTTCATGTTTTTCGTCAGATCTCCTGTATAAAGAGCGTGAAGTTATGGATATGAGACAATTATATTACTATTGTACAAACGTGAAGTATCATTTCAACAAAAATAAAGCATCATCACGAAACCATGACTATAACACACGACATCTCGACCAACTAACATATCCTACTGTTAAAAATTCAATTTCACAAAGAGCATATTCTTTCATGGCAACTAAATTATATAACACCGTACCTCACGGTGTTATACAAATAAGAAAACACATTTTCGAAAAAGATAGACAATTTAAAAAACATCTGTTAGAGTAAAATAAGTTAGTCTTAGTCAAATTTATCCCAAAGTTGTATCATAATTTTAATGTAGCATAATTTTATCCATATTTTATTCTTATAGAACGTGTAATATTTCTCTAAGGTTTTATCTATTTTTTGATCTTTTTCAGGTAAAGAAAAATGTAGCCCTAGACAACAACAGCAAAAACAGAATATCGAGTGTCCAAAGGTCCCTTGCAGAGTAACTGAGCCACCTAACCAGCCTGAAGGAAGAAATACCTGTTGTCCATCTTCTCCTTGCTTTGAATCAAGCGAAGGAAGAAATACCTCCTGTCCATTTTCTCCTTGTCCAATGGATCAAGGAACTCCAAGGCTCGACTCATATCCTCAATCACAAGTACCATGCAACGAGTGTGGGTCATTACCAAACGCACCTTGTTGGCCCCAAGGCGACCCCATGGGAGCGGGAATGATGGGGTATCCCCAAAACATGATGACTCCTTGTTACGAGTGTGCTAGTATGCCTTATCCTCCATGTATGCCTAGCCAAGCAAGAGGGTTCAACCAACGTCCTAATACCCCTTGTGAAGAATGCGGTGGGTTGCTAGAGCCTCCATGTGCTTTTGGACAATTCGGACCGAGTTATCAAGAGCCCGAGCCTGAAGGAAATTACCAAGAAATTGGTGCTGCAATGGGAGGAAATTCGCTGACCATCCGCGTTCACAAGGATAAGAACAAAGTGGAGCAAGTGGATCCCAATGCCTCTATCGGCTCCGGCAGTAGCGACCGCTGTATTTGTGTGCCTGGAAAACCCGGGAAGAAAGCGAAACAAGAACAAGTACTGTCCATGAGGCCGGGTGTTACTCAGGGCAATCAGAACATGCCTTTCGCGTTCAAAATGGGCGGATCCGGCGCAAATAACGGCAACAACGTTGTGGTAAACCCCCCGGTAGCTACTTCACCAGATGGTACACAGTTCACGGAGTTCTCAGATCCCAATAAAGAGTTATTTATTCTTCGAATCGGGAAGAAGAGCGAAGGAGTCGATAAGAAACAGAATTTAGAACTTGAATTGTGCACTCCGAAAGGCAAAGATCTGAAGCCCATTCCCAAACAAGAAACGAGAGATACTCAGTACGATCCGCTGGATGCCGGACCGGAAGAGGCTCCTAGCGGGAAAAAGGGGAAAGATAAAGGGAAAGAAAAGGGCAAAGGGAAAGGCAAAGGAAAGAAGAAATGAAGATACAGTATACGGGTTGTGATAGTTGAATACTGAGGCGGTATTATAATTTTGCAATGCCTGATAGTGATCATTTTTCAATTAATCCTATTTTCAGGAACCTATTTGATTAAAGATGATATTCAACTCGAACGATATATTTTTCACTTTTTCAGAAACCTTTGTTCTGCGGATGACCGAATAATATAATTGGTAGGTAACCTAGAAAATTCCAGCACGGATTAAATTCAATATTGGTAACTGGGTAAGTAGGCAAATTATCCAAGTAATGGTATCACGAACATGGCGGCTATGATACCTCGTTCCATGAATGAAGTAAGTAACGACTTAGGGGTATTCTGGTGCCCCAATATTTCCGCTGCAGATTACATGCTGAAGGTTGAATCAACTCAGTGATAAATCTCAATTCAGATTGTCTTTCTGTTGCTTCATGTTGTATATTGATTCGTTTTCCCCGTGGGTTTACCAATAATTGACTACACTGCATCAAACTTATCTGCTCTATTTACTCTTCATTTAGCCTACGTAAGGTCAAAATTAGAATATGGCCCTGTTCTATGGTCTCCATTCTACAATTGCTACAATATATTACTTGAAAGAATTGAACATCGTTTCCTAAAGTCCATTTACTTCAAATCTTATGGTATCCACCATGTTAGAGGTATTTCATATAAATCTCTTACCATAACATTCAATATTGAAAGTCTTGAATTATGCAGAAAACTTGCTGGAATAATTTTCCTGTGTAAATTACTGCACAACAATGTGGATGCTAAGAAGGTGTTATCTCTTTATAGGTTTCTGTGTGCCTCATTTTAGAATTAGAAGTACAAAAACTTTTTACAGCCGACTGGCCAGAACCAATTTGTACCACAAGTCACCTATCTTTAGCATTTGCAATAATTTCAGTTTAATTTCAAATTTGTGTGATATTCATTTTGATTTCCTAGCCCTAGAATATATTGTTGCAACTTCATCTCAGTATTTCATAGAGAATTTTTGATAGTTTTTTTATTTTATTATATTATATTTTTGTTACTCACTTTCTCAAATTGTAACTTTGTAATTATAAGCACCTATATTACTTTTTTAATCTACTTAGTTAACCCTGTAAATGGTGTTTAACTGTTGGGTAATAAAAGCTATTATTATCATTATTATTATAAATTAAACTTTATTTCACTGTTAATACAAAAAAAAAACACTTGAACTAAAATTTCAACCAATATTCGAATATATATCGCCTTATTAAATGGCAGCGTACCGCACTGTCACTTAAACTTGACTATATCGATATGCTCGTGGGTAGCGTTTATATGCGGCAAACGAACTATCCCGAAACCGGTCGAGAATTTCTCAGAAATCCATCGAAGCCGGTAGAGTATTCGCAGGAATTCCATCGAAACGGTGCGAACATCGAATAGTCGCCAACGCTGCTGGCTGGGCTGCCTGCGATCTTGGCCACGTCACAGTTGTTTAACGACGGCCAGCGGCGGCCGCCGCGTTATTTTTCTAAGGGAGTGATTCACAGCAATATGAAAAAACGGCTATATTGAAAAATGTTTCAACAAACAACTCTGCTGCGTTTTTTAGCTATATGATAAACCTAGCACCCCATTATTCATTCGATATTCGTTTCTTTACCTGCCACAACTGTTGCAAATGCTTTTGTTCAACGGTAGATGCACTAGTTGTAACTAAGCACAGCGGTAACTAATAAATTACGCTATAATGTCACATAGTCAGATAGACGTGTCTGCGCAAGTTATCCCGAGACACCAAGTTAGTGCCACGCGGCTAATAGGAAAAAACGTATGCATTGAGACCACGTGACACCAAGACCAAGGTGGGTCTTGCAACAAATATTGTTGTAAACAATTATTTTTATAGAAAGAATCAGTATTGATATTCAACGTGGCAATGCTGCTTCAGTACTTGGAACTATTCCTCCTTCACATAATTTAAATGAGATCATGCATTGCCCTAATTTCAGTACGGAACTGAAACCTCTTCGAAACAAGCCGAGATATGTGGATATTCATCAGTCTCCTATCAAGGTTAATTCACAAGTGATTGATCCACCTTCTTCTTTTTCAGTGCGGTCAGTGGACTCAGGTCATTCTTGCCCCTCAAATATGAGTTGCAGTCCTCGTAGAACTGGTTCCCTTTCAGTGGAAGAGCTTCATGAAGCAAGAGCCGAATCGATCCCTCTACGAAACCCTTCTTCACTTGGAAGGATCGATCGCAGCTTGAGAAATGGTTCTTATGGAGATTCTGTGAAACATGTTCTTCCTTACGAATCAGTAGATAGTTGTCCTGAAAATCTAGAGAAGAAAATTGGATTGGATAATTTAGGAAACACTTGCTACGTGAATAGCATTTTGTGTTGTTCATGACGAAGAATTTCAAGAACGAAGTTTTAATGATGAACGAGAACGGGAATGTTTCCTACTCATTCATCAAACTCAAACACCTGTTCATGCAGCTGCATTTTCGTAAGAAGGTATCATCTTTCCCTCCAACCGATTTCCTGGAGTCTTAGAAGTCCACTAGATACTCGTTAGGACAACAAGAGGATTGTTCCGAATTCTTGGGGTTCTTGTTGAATACTCTTCGTGAGTAAAACAATAGCAAAATCAATACTCCTAACCGCTCTGGACTGAATGATTCCGTACAGCCCATCTCGTCTTGTGTCTGTAAATCTTTTGCTGGAAAAATCCTCACTTGTTTACTTTGTGGTAAATGTTCAAGAAGTACCGAAAACTTATGTGAATTTCTGGAACTTCATCTAGCTTTTCCTAATATGACTAATAACCAGTCCGTGCAAAGCTTATTGTTGAATCATCTGAAATGGTGATGATCGACTGTATTGTCAAACATGCGCCAAACTAACTGACTGTTATAAGGAAACAGTATAGCTGAGGCACCAGTCAATCTAATAATAACACTGATGATTTTCAAACAAGACTCAACCTCTAACGGAAGCAAGAAACTCTTTGGAAAGTTCGAGATAGATGAACATTTCAACCTAGCAGACCACTATTATAATATTCATGCAGTCATTGTTCACTGTGGTTCTGGCGTTGAATTTGGTCATTATTACGCCTTGGTCAAAGACGAAACGGACTGGTTCAAGTTTGACGATAGTCGTGTCACGAAGTGTTCTGGCGATGCATTGAATTTATCGGAGCCTCTGGAGACACCCTACATTTTGTTTTATAAGAGAGAGGACATTGTTAGATCAATATCTTCAGATGATGTGGTGCTGCAGGTTTTTCCGGGTTTTCCTGCAGCTGAAAAAGCAAATGCGCCACTGGAATCAATGAAGTCGCCCCGGAGCGCCAATTAATTTTTACTGTTGTTTTTATTTCATTTTTATCGTTGTCTCAATAAAAGTATCTCATGTTCTACAAATAAATCTGTGAGTTATTTTATGTTACAAAACACTGAAATGAAAGAAAAAAAATTCTGGCCAAAGGGAATAATTTTTTTTACATTGCGGCAGTCAACGTGTTAGAAACGGACAAAATTTTTCAAACGATCTAATAACAATAGTGTAACAGGTAAATTACTTGTAACTAACATTTTTGCACCAATACTAGGCTTTCGCATTTGATGTGACTACAACAGGCAACTAATTTTTTATGTCATTCACGCTACCTTTTTGAATATGCGAATAATAGAGATGAAGCACCTTGGTACCTGGTAAACTGCAATATAATCGCTGTCGGCATGGCGTAGACTACAGGAGTGGGGTTACAGGCAACTGTCGCTGCCGATACATGCTGATTTCGGTCAGTTCTTATTACCACGAATCAAGGTTTTAACTTAGAGAACATGTGCTAGGAGTTGTGAGTGTTTCGTGTAGTGTAAGATTTCAAACAGTGAATTGATTTGATGGTATGTTGCTGTGAATTATTTCTGGACCAAGTCAAGTCATCGCTTTTTTTCTTAAATTATTTTCGTTCCAGATCCATTCAAAGTTACTTTCAAAACAATCTGAAAATGTTCTGATAAGATACTTCGGTTTTCTATTATATTTGTCGACCTTGCTATATCAGGCATGGTGACATGTATAACGTGTAATTAGAGTAGTTTATATAGTTTCGAAAAGGCGTCGGTGTCTTTGGGTTTAAACGCGAAGTGCAAGCCACGTGGTTAAATATATGCCAGATAGTTTCCAAAAAATGTTGCCTATTTATAAAACATTGGAACATCACATTTCATTTACACACTCGTTTGAAAGGAACCGCCGCTATTATATTCTGTTATTCGCAAAGTTGCATCAGCAATAGATAACCTACCTGATGCCGTATGTTTATTTACAAATACTGAATTAGTATTTTAAGAATTAATTTGTTGTAATTGTTGTAATAATTTTGAAAAATGTTTTCGAAAAAATGTCAATGCATATAGATACTTGCTTCAAAAAAAAATCGTTTAAAAGAAACTGTCGTTATTGTAATATTCTGTTATTTTCATTATTGCATCAGTCATAAATAACCTAACAGATGTCGTATGTTTATTCACAAATCCCTAACTAAGTACCATTATTCTTGAATTAAGTAAGTAGTGTTTTAAGGATTAATGTGTTATATCATAACGATGAAAAATATTATTGAAAGAATGTTTTAATGCATATAGGTGATAAAAGTTTGAGAATATTTCAGAAAAACTATCAATAATTGGGAGTATTTAGGTATTAACGCAACAGAGTCCAAAACAATATTTTTTGCGTATTTTTGAAGGCTAATCTCAAAAACGGTTCAACCGATTTGAGTGCCGTGCGGTTTTAACTAATTTATTGTGGTTGACTTCATCAAACATTCAGTATTGTTTTATTCATTTCAATGGATTTATAGGGGAGACTGGGGACACTTGATCCCCATTTTTATGTTTTATCCATATTAAAGTCTGAGATAATGTTTTTCAGAATATTTTTTGGTGACAACCAAGAAAAAATATGTCCAAAGGTGTCAAATCCGGCGAGCGGGCTGGCCATTCTGTAGGACCTCGACGGCCAATCCAACGACCGGGACAAGTAGTATCCAAATAGTTTCTCACTTATCTGGAGTAATGTGGTGGTGCTCCATCTTGTTGAAATACAATATCCATATCGAATCCATTAGGATTCGCTTCGACGATTTCAGGGTCAACAGTAGTTTCCAGCATATTCAAATACAGTTCCCCTGTTGAATTTTGATCAACAAATAGAGGTTCTACAATATGGTTTTCCAATATTCATGCCCAAACGTTATTTTTTGTCGATATTGGGTATGTGTTCCCCGGAAAACGTGAGGGTTGGTGTCACTCCAATAACGGCAAACTAAAAAAAACCATAACAAACCTTATCGGGTTGTTGGAATTGCCATATGGCAGACAAAAAGGAATATTTCTATAAATATCGATATTAATGTGTTTGTCTTCAGGAAATTATTAAATGTTCCGCCATTTTGTAGTAGTTGAAGATATTGACATTATATCCTAGGGTTATGAAGCATTTGTCAGGAGCTTCAGAAAGATGTGTCAGAATACCCCCCTTTCCATTAAATTTTTTCCCAAATGGCGCCCAGTCGCCATCTTGAAACTTCGAGTAAACCTATATTTGCCAATTTTAAGAATATAAATCCTATTATTTTTCAAAATACTGTGAACTGAAGGTCAACGTGCTGTATACTTAGTGAAGTGTGAAGCAATTTTTGATTATTTCTTTTAAACGCAATACTTTACGGACCTCTAATAAATGAAATGACGCAATACTTATTACATCATCCTAGTTTCGGGCAATTCGAGGCGGTATTATTATCGTCAAATCTGCAGTTATATCAGCCTGTATACGCTGAATAAACAATAAATTCAATCACCAGAATGTGTTTGATACTTTTAATATAGGTACGCAACTCGCTACAGTAGATCTTATCGGAACTAAACTGATTATCATCCCCACGCAAAATAAACTCAAACAACTTGTGTATCTAAATTTAAATTTTCAGTTTTCAACATTAATAAGAGTATTCGTACTATGGATTGGTTTAATTTCTTAAATTCGCTTCGTTAATGTACTTACGTCGTTTCACCTATTTCAATAACAACCACAATCAATGTCAATTATACAGTGATGACTAATTTTCGTATTTGTTACGCAATTCCACTATTCTTCTGCTTTGCCGTTTGTTTATTACTTTAAATCTAAATCCTAGTTTCTTTATCCAATTCTGAAGAGTTTTGTCACAACAGCTCACGTTATGACCGGAAGTATTCAATTTCTTCCTTATGATTTCAGTTGTAGGAATCTCATTGCTTTTGTAACAATCGTATATTGTGTTTTCAATAATTTTATTAGCTGAACATCTAAAAGTTTTGGTAATCCCGTATCACATCGCGTTCGTAAGGTTTGTTTTTGACTATTTTACGTACAATCGAAAAAGGAATTTCGGTCAAATATAATGTTGCTTGTAATTGTTTGTTTCCCTCGAAACCAAACTTGAGATGTAGATTCTTATATACATTGAAACATTCTTTCAAAGTTTCTTTTCGCATTGTTCACCATCGCTATTGGAATCACTACACAGGAAAAAGTCCGCGTTGTTACCACACTCGTTACTACTATTAGTACATGTCCCAGGACGCCACATTTTCAACAGATAACAAAAATTTTTAGTAATTATAACGGCACCAATATAGAATTTCAACACTCAAATCGTCATATTTGGATTAGTTCATACCTTTCTGACAGAAAACAATTTGTGAGAACGTCATCTAACTCGGACGTGGGAGAGATAAATTGTGGAGT